AATGTCGTAAAAAATAAGACGCGCATGTGCTGAAAGGTTAAGCAAATGAAGCCACATTTTTGTACATATTTATGGCTAAAATGCAATGTTTCATTTTCTTTTTAACATTTGTGTTGGCCTTATAATGACTTTAAAAAAAAAAAAAGAAAAAGAAAAAAAGAAAAGAAAGGATGGAAAGACAATGGAATTTGCTGGAAGTAAGATTACCCTTACTCTCGCACAGAAATTGTGTTTAATCACACTTAAAATTTTATTAAACAGACCACTGATGTTTAATCTTATTTTTCTAGAAAACAAATGCTGCGTCAAGGCCCAAAATGTTTAGCAGATATTTCACCACTGAAATTTTGAAGTTGGCTTACATATGCATTTAAAATGGCAAATAAATAATTCACCTTAAAACTGAAATTAAAGAGAAAATATTTTTATTTTATCCTAATAATAATAACTAAATTTTCTAACATCACATCCAAGTCTGAATATTCTAGCAATTCAAAGGATATCTGTCTCTGTTGCTACAGGCAAATCTGTAGGAATGGCAATATTCTGCATTATTTCATTAACATCACCATCATCTACTACGTACCATATAACTTCCATTTTTTCCACCTAAACTTGGCACCCAACTTCTCTTCTAAAAGATCTAACCTAAACAGACAACTACGTGAACGTTTAGCAATTTTAAAATTGGCTTTCAATTTTGGTTGAGTTTTTGAAGCAAAATCTTAACATATTCACTTATTAGGAAATATACAACACTCTTAATTTCATGTTAAGTTTTCTGGATATCCTCCCCCCAGGGAGATAACATTTCAGCAAAGCAACACTGCAGGCAAATTATCTCCCAAACCCTCTTTAACTCAATAAAATTAATTTCATCTCTTAATAAATATAGATTCAAATAGCAGAATACAGTCAAAAGTCGTTAATTCGGACCTCAAAGCTACAAACATTTTGCGCATGCGTCGCATTGACGCCTTTACGGCTGCGCATATGCGTGTGCGCATAATATAATACGTTTACACATGCACATTTAATGTATAACGGAAGGTATAAGCTAAAATTATCTAATTATCTATTTCAGTTAATGTTGCAGATTGCGTTGTTCCTTAATCTTCGAATTGGATCCGGCTTATTATTTTTTGCAGACTGTTAGAGCAATTTTATAAAAGTAAGCTTGAACTGTCGATTATGTCAAATAGAATTTTCGATGCTGGAGCTCCCAAAGGATCTACAAAGCGAAAGTATGTTTCGATGTCCATCAAACAAAAAGTAGAATTGCTGCAAAAAAATGGATAAAGGCATATCCTTTGTTTATCTAACTATTCCGAAATCTGTTTATCAATTTCATGCTGCTCTGCAGCGGGGAAACGCCGCAGCGCGCAATGAATTGGAAGTTGATCTGTCAGCACTATCCTTATCTTCAGGGCACATGTTTTTATTTTATTTGGCTTATAATTTCTTACTAAATGTAGCATTTCATCTCGATGTACTCCGTCTCTGATATGATTTAAATCAAATTCCTCGTCATAATAATTCGCTTCCGATAGTGAAGAAAGTGACACAGAGGTTATTGAAAACTAAAAAATTTCGATTGACAAATTAGTCAGTATTCTCGACACAGCAATTATAGGACTTGAACAGCGGAGCTTTGTAACTGAACAAGAAATTATGTCTGGTTATAGAATTAAAGAGAAAGTATTATCACATAAAACGAAGCAACTTAAACAACTTACATTGAAATAAATGTTTAATAAAGTAAACAAATAAATATTAAGCTTCTTTTTTTGTAAATTTTGATACCTTTTAGATTATAATTGTTCTTTATTTCATAAATTAGGGTTCATATTTTTAATTTTATAATTTCTGCATGCCATCTTACCAGACTTAAACTGATGATCTATAATCAAAAATTCATAATCCGGAATCGCCGAAGTCCCGACGAGTTCGGATTAACGACTTTTGACTGTATATATTGTTGCGAAATTACCAAGCCGCAGTTAGCGAGTATTGAACCGTACTCTCTAAGTGCGGCTTGGTAATTTCATAACAATATATATCTATATGTTAGACCCAATTCTTTTAAATGAAATTCCTCCTGAGGAAAAAAGTGTAAAGTAATAAAACTCAACATTTTTTCAAAAATGTACACTTGTCAAAGCATTGCTCAGGAACAAACATCTGATAGTCACATGGGATGTCAAGAGTTTGCATTACATGATGACAGTTATGCTTTACTCCTTCATGCTCACTATCAAATGAAAGAACACTATAATGTTCACATTTTAAAGACAAATCATCAATAACTGATGCCATGCTAATGTCATTTCTCCGATATCCAAGGTACTCACACTCATTCAGTTTGCAAGCACAATTTATTTTCTCGCAGTAAGACTGATGACATCTATCAATGATTAGCTGAGAGTCCTTTGTGTTATCATCCATTATGTAGACAATTATGCACTAATCCAATTAGGTACTATATCTTCAGCATGGAAAAATAACAACACTTTGAAAAGCTAATCCAACACCTTTTTATTTTATAAAGAGATTTATGTGCCATTTGGTAATATACAATAGATTTTACAGATTTAAGAATTTTACCTATACATATAAATGGTTATTACTTTATTATTTGCTTAAGACTAAAAATTCAGTGCTGAATCTATCAACATCATACAACCTCCAAGATGCAAACAATAGAATTTGCGGTTAATAAATTCATGAAACTGCAAGATTTTGAATTAAAATCTATTTCAAGCTCCACTTTGATAAATAATAAGCAGAATTTATGGCTAAATTCCCATTAGTATAGGCAGTGATTGGGAGGGAGAGGATTTTTTTTCCATATTTATAACAAATCCAACATGGGCTAAACCTAAAGAGTTACTTCTTAATGCTAAAGAAGAGATGATGAGAAATTTAGATAAACTTAAAAAGAATAATGCTGAAATTATCCATATTATTTTATAGCTAATATACGATTCTGATTATTATGATGCTGACTCAGAGCTGTGGCCTCAAACTGGTGTGTGGAAAGAACATTCATGCGGCCTGCAAACATATTTCAATTGTATATTTCTTTCAAGTACAATGATTTGAAGGTACTAAAGATTTCAAGACTTCAGTTACTATCAAACAAAGAAAGATAAAAAAAATCTATAAATGCAGATAATTAATTTTCACTGTGTTATGAATTTATTCAGATATCTGAAGATACAGATATTAAAAAATTTTATTCACGGTTTTAAAAAAATTATTTTCCACTAAGAATACTCACTTTATTGGGGAATATATTTAAATATGAATAACTTTTTATCACTGTTGAAATTATGAGACTTATCCACATTTACAGTCCACGATCAAGATAGTTTCTCTCCAAAGGTAGCTTTAGAAGAATCGATATACCATCAAGTATCCTAAGAAATAAAGGAGTTTGTAACTATTTACGTCCAGATATATGTATTTTTATTTATTCATCGAAGAAAAATTTAATAAATAAGAGAAAGGAACTATGTTGTTGTTATTTACTCTCAAGTTTTGTCCCACTTGGAAAGCTTAAGATTTCAAAATTTGTTTTATTTTTACTTTAAATTGAAATAAGTTATTTAATACCCAATTAAATATGTTAGATTTACTTCAAATAAATGTCAGTTGGAAAATGTAATGTTAATCTATGAATATATTGTGTAACCAACAAAAATATGCAGGTACTGAATTTTATAGTTCAGAACGAATAAACATGAATTTGAATTTCCTTTGCGATATTATTATTACATTTTATATATAGTTTGATAAAATTTAGCAAGCAAAATTTATAATTTATTTTATTAATAAATTTTTATAATTATTTATAATAATAGTATTTTTTATTTTATTAATAAAAAATTTCCTTTTGTGTAAAAATAAAAGCCTGTTTTTAGATCGTGCATTGGTACATATGCAATTTGAGACCACTGTTTAAGAAAAATAAATCTGAAATTTTTAGAATATGAAAACTATGTAATGGACTGTGAATTAATTATATACAACTGAAATAAATTCAAACAAAAAGTTTTAAAATATACTACTACTAAACAGATCTTGAAAGTATTATAAAAATATTTTATATACATGACTTTTACTTCTATAAAAAATGTCAAAAAGAAATGTTCATTAATTTTTTAATTTCTTCTGTTTTACTCAAGCTAAATTATTCTAATTTTTAGTAATTCATACCTTGTGGCCTGAAATGAAACTCTAAAATGTTTACTACCTCAGGTGACAAGCTGTGTGAATTTCTGGTATTTCAAATGACTGTATAATCTTTTATTATCCAGCAAAATTGAAGATCCTTATGCATGTTTCACCCTTTAATTTAGGATTTATTCTATTATTTTAAAGTTCCACCTATGTAATGTGAATTCTTAAAGTATATGTGACTTGTAGTTAGACACAGCAAGTTTAAATAGAACCCAATGAGATATAACTGAACACACACCCAAGAAAATATTAAAACCAAATATCCAATATGCCAGCCTAAGACAATCATTCATTTATAATTACTATTTTTAACTGAAAATTTACAGTCAAAGAAGTATATTAAAACTATACAACCATATCATAGAAAACATTTGCATGTTACATTTCTCATTTGATGTTTCTTCCTCTCCTTTGTTCTCTAAGCCTGAAACTAAATTCATATGATACACTGAGATAGTTTAAGGAGCTTCAAATATAAACAGGAATGGTTATGCTGTTTTTACAATGAATTCAAAATTATGACTCATTACACACACATATAATTTATTGACAGTAGTACTGATTTCTCTTTCCATCACCCTTAATTAATAAGTATGTCAGAGCAGGAGGCTCAAAACAGTATTACACAATGACTCATTAGATGTTTTACTAAAAAGGTGTCATTCCATCTCAGATATATTCAAAATTTAAAAATCAATATGAAGATGAGTTTCTTTCTCAATCTACAGTATGACTGATGCAAATCTTTTTTAAAGCAGGCTGGATGAGAGTTGAAAATAGACAACAAGTCTAATGAAGAGGTTACTGAAACTCAGCAAGAATGGATCAACATGCAATCAAATGACTTTTATTATTTTTCTGGAACTGGGAAACTTCCTGGCTGCAGGAAAAGTACTGCAGTGGCAAATGACTTTGTAGAAATATAATATGTATATTCAGTTTATTCAATGAATAAAGTTTAGCTGATATATTCCTACTTACATTTGAACATTACTTATATTCTTTGCTCAGTCCAACATAATTAACATGGTGGCTATACAGCCCTTAAGAACTTAAAAATGTTATTTCCATACTCTTCGTTCACAATACTGATCACTACACAATTTATACTTAAACATTTATCAGACCTGCAAACTATCTATGACTGTGGACTAAAAAAAAATATTTTCTTGAACCTTCGCTACTGTGATATGATTGTTTAATATATGTCAAAACTTAGCAGAAATACTTTCACCAGTGTTGTCAAATGTCTCACGTACGTAGCTGGCACACAGCTTTCAAAGAGACTGTTTCAGTTATAAATCCTTCTATTTAAACCAATGTTGCAAGAACCTCATTTCTCAAAAAAAGTTTATTCTAGAGCATGTTGCTAAATGTGAATAATCCTATTATGGATTGCATATTTGCCATTAAACATTATTATGCTCAACTACAGTCAGTTCTTTATGAATTGTATATTTCTTTCAAGTTTTACTGTTCACAACAGACAGAGCTTCTAATATGTGGTTTTATTAATGAAAACAAAGCCAAAAATTCAAACTGTATTTTCAAAAAAATTGAAGGGGGTTAATGAGCGAGAAAGTGAGAGAGAAGGAAAAAAAAAGGGAAGGAAAATGAAAAAAGTTTAAAAAATTTGAAACCAAATAAAATCAATATTCATTACAAAATTCAATGAAAAAGGTTTCTCATTTCTGTGATTTTCTGGAATATACAAACAAATTTAACTGAATATTAACACAATTCATTATGCAGAAACAAAAGGAGAAAAATTACATCTCTTACCTGAATACTACATAACTTTTTTTAAATCCCTTTAACCAAATTCAATTAGCACCCAAGAAATATTAAATTTGTTGAATTTCTGGGCATTTTTATTTAAAGGACAATGTACGTATAAAAAATTTATAATAGCACAACTACATCTATAATACTATTTCGCTCAATCACATGGATATCCACAAAACTGGCAGTACATGAATGATAAACTATTTTCTTAAATGCAGCTACATATAACAGTAAATGCTCTGTTCAAGATTATGTAATAGTTAAGTATGTTTAAAAACACAGAAAGCTCTCTCTTTTTTAAATTCATGTTTTAAAATACCCTGCTAGAGAACTTTTAAAACAGTAAAAATGTGGTTACCTAACAGGAAGTTTAAGTGATTAACAAAATTTTAAATTTTAATATCTTTTCTAGCATACAATTCACATCTCTAGAGAATAATATTTAAATCACTTTAAACAGAGCACATTTACAGCTCACAAAACAACACATTTTCAATTCAAAACAACATTACATTTAGACTGTGTTTGATTTACTAGATTTATTTAAATGATGCCATAAAGACCTTTTTAAAATTTCAGTTTATATTGATAATTGAACGAAATTTCAGTTTAAATATAGGAAATTTTAATAGTATTTCAATAAGAATTTTAAATAAACTTAATAAATTATTTTAATGATATAGGTTTGTCAGTGCAATGAATAACAAAAGCTTAGGTATCTAAGAGCCTGCCTCACAATTAATTTCTTTTGAAATTCTGTTCTAATTAATACATTGCAAATGTTTACATATTTACTTTTCAACCATAAATGCATTTTCTGTGGAGTATTAAAAAAAAACACTTAAACATCTAATCACATAACAAAAAAACACACTCACGGAGACACTATTTCTTTTTTATTTTTATAAAAAAAAGTTTGATGTGACAAGTTATCTTTACACTGTCTAAGATGTAACAAAAAAGTAAAGCACTGAAAAATTTATTCCAAAAAAATCTGTAAAAATAAAAATTACCAATCAGTAGTACATAATGCCAACTTCAGAAATTACATTTCAATTTAAGTAGGGCAAAGTAAACAGCAGGTTTAAAAAGTGAAATATTCTTTGCATAAATGTTACTTCCATTTTTATGAAATGACTTAAAAACAAATAAATGGTTTTACATAAAATAACAAACTTATAAAAAATTTGATTAAATGTCTATAAATCAACTCTTATATTTTCATTAAAGCGCATAAATTTCTCATACCAGTTATACATACATTAATTAAGCGCATCTCTATTATTTATCTTCCCCCTTTTTACTTAATTCACCATTACCAAGTGAAGAATCACTCGGATCTGGCTGAACCTCGGTCCTTTCTTGTTTGGCTGAAGCCCAATATGCTAATGTCTGAGCAACTTGCACTTCAGTATCTGTATCAATTTCTAAAGATGTCCGTTTTTCTTCTACTGTTCCTTGATGTGCTTCTGCTTCTCGGCGCCGAGTGCGTTTTCTAACAGGTAAAGAGTCTTCTTTGATGCCATCCACCTCAACAGGAGTGCGAGGTCTAGTCCGTTTACGACCTCTGCCTCCTTCTGACGTCCTTTTAGAAGAGCTATTTTGTGTAACAGCATCAACAGTCTCAGGAATTTCATTATCTCCTACCAGTTTATTTACTTCCAAAGGATGTTCACTAGTCCTCGAAGGAACAGTCTGAGAAGTATCGGAACCATCAACTAAATTTGTTCTTTCCGCTAAAGGAATTTGCTTTTCATGAGAAACTGCATTTTTATTTTCTACTATTACTGAATGGTCACTGCCTTCTGATGCATTATTTGTAGGCAAGTCATGTGAAGTTTCTTTTTTAACAGCCGGGTTTGCTGCTGAATCAAAAACAAACATTTTTACATCTTGGGAATTTGTATCTGCCTCTTTTTCTGGAGGTGGTGTCCAAGGCTGTTGGGAATTTGATCCCTTATCTGTGATAGGATCTGAAAGACTTTCAGTTCCATTTAAATCATTTGAAAGAGAAGCTATAGAATCATTACTAAGTTTATCTTTTCCTGAAATAAGCTGTCCATGAGAAAATTGACTATCTGTATCTCCTGTATCATCAGGTCCCAATATTTTATGATTTTCAGGAGAGCCATTAGGAATAGCAGATAGTTTTTGTTTATCTTGTTGTAGTTGGAGAAGCTGATCTTTAGCCTCTCTTAATTGTTGCTGTAAATAATATATAGTGCTTTGCATTCCTTCCACATCTTCATCAAGCTCCAGTAAGAATTCATCAAGTTCTGAAAAATAATTTATAAAATGCATTAAAATAAAATTAAATAAATGTACATGAGTTTTTGAGTTTGGGAAAGGAGGAGAGATGATTGTCTAGCGATGGTAAATGTTAATAGAACTCTAGTTAATTCCACTTTACAAAGTAATGCCATATTCAGAAAAAGAGATTCTCAGTTAGTAAGTTAGTATTGCATTTTAAGTTTTAAACTTTTTTTTTTTTCCCCTTAATTTAGTTCTATTATTAGTTCTAATATGATTTAGATTTTACATTTGACATATATAAAGAGTTCCACAATATGTTCTTCAAGGTTTCTGAGAAGCATCTTAATATAAATGATTCATGCATTTATTACAGAAAAGTAATCAAAACTTATATTATTAAATGCCACTAAATGCTTTTCTGCAGCTTTCTACAAAGAAACATAACAAAAAATTTTCATAAACATTTAGTACATCAATTGTTAATAGTTTTCTTGCCATTTGGAATATTCAATATATTATCACAAGAGACTTGAAGTATAAAGTATAAAATAAAATATGCAGCATGATTTCCTTGTCTTTTTAAACTAGTGTTTTCCAAACATTAGCATCTAAATCCATATGCCTGTAACTGTGCAATCAACACGCATTAACAAGACAGTGTATGCTTATTTGCCTTAAAGTGGATCCCCCCCCACACACAGACAAGTTTTGAAAAGGCTTCCAAAAGATTAGGACAACAAACTGGTAAGTTTCTAGAAGTATGTTATAGACTTATGAAGGCGAAAAAAAAAAAAAAAAAAAAGCTTTATTGTCATATACTGAATATATAGACGAAATCCCTGTAATGTTTGATATAATATGAAATAAAGCAACTGATGTGAATGGAACAAATTCGGTTCACATAAAAACAACGGGCCACGAAAAACCTCACCCGAATGTAGTCCTCCCCTGCTTAGCAGTCGGTACAAAATTAAAACCCCAAGGTTGCTCTAAAAAGAAAGACGATGCCAAAATGTAATTTCCCAAGTAGTGTTTTCTTTCATGTCACAAAAAAATATGGAGGTACAAAAACAGTGTATAGTTGTGAATAAGAAATATTTCGCAAAGGTGTCCTATTTCCTAAAAGAATCCAGAAAGTATAGTTTGGGACATGTTCAAATGGATCCAACGGATAATATGAAGAAATTGTTGAAAGAGCGTAATACAGGCACAAGCAGTTATACCACATGGATTTATGCCATTAGTTCAGCCTTTAGACGAGTGTATCAATAAATCATTCAAAGAAAATTTTAAATGACAGTGGAATACATGGATGTTAGGAAGTGAAAAAACTTTTACAAAAGGAGGCCAAATATGTCCTCTCAGTCTAGAAATAGTGTGGGAGTGGATAATAAAAGGTTGGAATGAAATTAAACACAAGCCATTTGAAAAATGGAGTACATCTATCAAGGAAGATGATTATTTATTTACAGATCAGAGTAACAGTGATATTGACAATCAAAAAGAATTCAACAATGTGCTTGAAGATGCAGCAGAAGATCAACACGCTGAATTTTTCATATTATCCAATAATGAAAATTTAAGTTCTGATTTTCCAGAACTCAGCATAGCAAATTTAAAGGCACTTTTCCTTTATACATATACAGACAATACATATTATTTTTTAAACTGCCCAGGAATTACATCAGTATTTAAATCTATACAGAAGAATAGTCCAAGAATGAATTACATCTATTCTTGAAACAATTATGGTAACATTTTTATTATAAACAATTTCTAAAGAATTATCCACTTTTAATAATCAAATTAAGTCAGGTCATACTATCAAAATTCAACAGTAATTTACTCAGCCAATGGTTGAGTCTAACTAGTTTCCAAATTATGAAGCAAGCAGCAAGCATAAAGAGACATGCTGACAACTTTTCAGATATTAGCTGGTTTATTTAGACTTCACTGTGCTTATATTAATGGCAAACAGGAACAGATTTTTGAAAAGATTTTTCCAATGTCGAAAACCGAGAACACGGTAAAGACAAGAAGGATAACGATCAGAGTCAATTTCTTTTAAAATCCAAAATTTCAGTGTCCTTAATTCGACTATGGATGTGCAGGGAATAATGGCATATTTAATATAAGGATTCAATACAAGAAAATCTTTGTTGTTTTTTGTATGTAAAACATTTAAAAAGTTTTCAGAGAAGCAGAACTTATTTTTCTTCCTTTACTTTTAACACTGAAAGTAGTAGCTATATCTTGATTTATTTTACATGTCTTTAACTTTCAAATGAGTCTTTTATTCTCAATTCCAGAAACAATTTTCCCTCAAACCTGCAGTATCAGTTTTCACACTTAATTTTATGTGAATTATCTGCACTAACACTTAAATAATTCGGCATCTTTATTTAAAGTTTTTACTAATTAGTTGTATTATTTTTAAGTCTGAAGATTCTCCTTCCTAATCCAGGACAAATGTCTTCATCTGAGAATTGCAGTAAAAATTACCAGGATATATGATTTCTGAAACTGAAATTCATTTTGAACTTTATACAATTTAAAACTGTTATGTGGTTAATTTGCATATATAACTTGTAAACAATATAAATATGTTTCTTTTATCTTTATTTACCTTATTTGTTTGTACTGAATTTGGCTTCTGACCAAGGATTGCACTGTCCTGGATGTGCAGTCCTTGGGAGGGAAAAGTGTTGTGAAATTCTCAGCTGCAGTAAAATAACTTCCAAAGCAGGATTGCCAGATTTGGGATAAAATTGCCCATTTGGCAACAAAATTGGCAATATACCATAGGTGGAGTGAGAACATTGATTCTAGAAAGCATTCTTAGTAATTTTTCCGAGAATATTCTTGAGGGTAGGTTAAAAGCTATATACAGTCAAAAGTCGTTAATCCGGACTCGTCGGGACTTAAGCATTCCGGATTATCGATTTTCCGGATTATAGATCATCATTTAATCTGGTAAGATGAATGCAATTATAAAATTAAAAATTGAAACCTAATTTATGAAATAAAGAACAATTATGATCTAAAGGGTATCAAATTTACAAAAAAAAAGCTTAATATTATTTGTTATTATTAACATTTCTTCAAGTAAGTTTTAAGTTGCTTCGTTCAATATATACTTCTCTTATTCTACAAACAGACATATTTCTTGCATTCAAAGTTCCTGTTCAAGTCTCTAATTGTGTGTCAGAATACCGACTAATTGGCATCGAAATTTTTCATTTCATACCTCGTGTCACTTGCTTCACATCGAAGCGAATATATGACAGAATTGATTTAAATCATATAAAGACAGAGTCATCGAGAGAAATACACATTTAGTAAGGAATTATAAGCAATAAAAAAAAACTGTGCCCTGAGATACGGATAGTGCTGAGAGATACTTCCTTCATGCGTGCCGCGGCGTGAAATGATAAAAGACTTTCGCTTTGTGATCCTATACATATTAGTAATATATATCGGAAATTCTATTTGACTAATGAAAGTCAGTTACTTTATAAATTGCTATAAAGCTGTAAAAATATAGCCGGTCAATCGAAGATTAAGGAACAACGTATCTGCACATTAGTGAATAGATATTTTAGCTTAGCTATACTCGGTACACATTAAACGCGCATGCGCACACACATATTCGCAGCCATAAAGGTCTTAGGGGCACTCGTAAACGGCTGTGCGCATGCGTGGGGGTCCGAATTAACGACTTTTGACTGTATACCCTGGCTGTATGCGTGGCTTAGCAGTATTTTGAATTCAGTAGCGTAGGGGTAGTGACTCGAGTTCCAAGATTAGGTTGAGAGCAATCAAACGAGTCCGGAGCTGTACTTTTGTGTTTTGCCGCGGTGAAAGTTATAGCCTGAAGGCTGTGGTGCTGATCATTTCAGCATGTTTATCACAGTTTTCTGACGATTGTAAATGTGTCTTTAGAACTGTTATATGTAATACTAGCAAATAAATTGTGTTTCAATCCTTCATCAAGTGTGATCATCAATCACTCTAAATCCTTAAACCCGCAAAACGCAACAATGTGCTATATGACCTATAGCAACATTTGATGTTAACTGTAGAATTGGAGCATGCCGTTTTCAAATATATCTACTCTCCTTCATAGTAATAATATATCATTTATCTTTTAAGAAAAGCTTTCATTTCTTTCACAGGTAATTTAGAGAAAAAAACAAGAAAATTCATCAGCCAGAAATCTTTTTTGCAGTAACAATAACAAAATATTGTTACATTAAAAATTATAAGACTAAATAAAGTAGAGAAATATATAGCAAAGCAGCTGAGAGGATACAAATAAAAAGGGATACCTCAGAAATGAGTCCCCCCAACAAAATTATACACTTATATGGCTAAAAAATTTAAATTAATAATTACCTGACTGACTTTTCTTCATTTCCTCACTGAAACTTTTCTGTAATGCTAAATCACCTTCAAGTTTGGCTGTTCTACCGGATGAAATAATCTTTCCTAATTCTTCATTCTCTTGATACAATAGTCGGCATTTTGCCATCAATCTTTTGCCAGTATTGCTATATGGGGAAAAAAGTAAACATATGATAATGTACTTTCTATGCAAAGCACTACAGGAGAACTTGAAAAAGCTTTTTTTTACCATACTGAATGTATATAACTGATTTTTAGTTCTTGGATAATTTTTGTTATATACACAAAACACCACACTGCTTTGTGAACACACTAAAATACACATAAATCCAATAACTCCATTTTTGTTTATTTAAAATACAATAACAATTCCAAATAAATTTAAAATTACTTAAAATATAATCACATTCAGAATTAAAATAGCTGAAACTATTACGAAGAGCATTAAAACGTCCAATTAAAATAACAAAAATAATACACCCTGAATAAGATACAAAAATTTCAAATATGAAAAACTAATGAAAGATTATTTATTACAGAGACAGAATATTAAAAAGAGTTACAGAAAGGATAATCATATTCAGATAGAATTCTACCGAGAATGATGAACAGCATATGTGAAAAATCATTGTTTTGGAAGATATACCTCCCATTACTTTTATTAATTTTATCTCCCATCCCTTTTAAACTAAGAGCAGAATGTTAAATTTTTTCCAACTATCAAAAATAGCTATCTTACATGTACATGAAAGAACCTCTTAAAAAATGTATGTGGAAAAATTTTCATATGCCTTAAGAATACCATGGCACCAACTTAGGCCAAAAGATAAAAATATATCTGAATTATGGAGGACAAAATAACAAAGAAAATAATAATAAAACCAATGCATGTGAGACAAACAATCATATACTTTTGGAAAAAAATCATCACAATATTACAGCAGAATGGAATGAAATAACTTGGACAGTAAGAACAGTGAGAAAGGTTATGTGAGATTCAAGTCTCTAGCTTTTTGAGCTGAATTAATGGTACAAAATTTACAGTTTGTTCAAGAAAAATACTTAAAGAAGGAGAATGATAATGTTTAGGGCTTGGACATTTGGGGGCTGCAGCTATGAGAGAAAATATCAAGGGCTATTAAATGATATTTTTCATAATATACATCACAATTCAGATTCAGATCATTATTTACTGGAAATTTAAACCATAGATCTTATGTCTCTTG